GACTTTAATTTAAATTATTGTTTTTCTCTCAGCTTTTCCTCAAGGCACCTGTCAACACTGCCGAACTGACGAATCTCTTAATTCAGCAGAACCACATCGGGAGTGTGATTAAGGTAAGCGGCAGCTGCGCTCATTCTGATTCAATGGGCTCTTGATCCTGGGAAGTCCCTCCTGATGTATAGCAGCGGCCGGACGCGTCGGTCGGAACAGAGCAGGGAGACTGGGTCAGTAAGTGCCGCAGTGCGGGTGATGGCGGTGGAGAGGGAGAGGAGTGGGCTGATTCAGAAGGCATTTGGGAGATGAAATATGGTGGGCTGAGGGGGAGGGAAAAGGAGTCAGGCATGACTCCGAGGGTCTGGCTCAAGCAACCAGGACAGCGACATGGAGGGCGATAGGTTAGGAGGGGAACCCGCGTTTGGACTTGTACATTTCGAGTTTGATTTGCCTGTAATAATGCAAATGAGCTGTTGAGCAGCAGCTGGAGACTTGGGTGTTTTCAGCAACAGGAAGCCCACACGGGTCCCAGGGGAGGGCGCATAGACCCCACCTCTTGATGGGAGGAGGGTCTGGGTCACTGTCAGAGGAGGAGGGATGGGCGATGACCTTGTGGCCCTCTGTGCAAGGCACAGTCTGTCACAAGACCTTCTATGCCCCTGTCAGTCTGCACACGGATGGTGCGTGCGCCACCTCGTAGGGCGGGAGGTGGACGGAGTGAGTAGCTGAGTGTAAGTGTTAGAGCTGTGGCACGTGGCCCGTGGCCGGTGCTCCGTGTGGAGCTGTCATGAGGTGTGGTCCTGTTCCCAGCCCTTTGCCCAGCTCCTTGTTCGACTGCATTTCCTGCCGGGACGCTCCAGGCTGGACCCGGTGAGCAGGCCGGCCCTGGAGAGTAACGTGTGGTGCATCTCAGCCAGGAGGTTCCGTGGGAGCCAAGCTCTTCATCCTTAGCTGTTTTCTGGATTTGCCTCTTTGTCTCTGCCTGAGAACAGGCGGCCCTCGGGCATCAGTCACCTTCTTAGGAGCCAGACTGGCCCGCGCTCGGCAGCACAGGACTTGGTGAGGCGTGTGGACCCACGGAGAGACGAGCAGGGCCGGCTCCTGCCAAATCGTTCAGAAAACGGACTGAACAGTTTATGTCATGAGGCCTTGGCTGTTCTGGATTTGTAACAGGTTGAGAATCTAGTAAAGAAAACTCATAAGTTAGGGCAGGAGAGGTCACACAGAATGTGAAGAAAGGTACGTAATCAAGGGAAGCACAGGGATGCGCACGGGGCCACACCACCGTTACCCATGATGCTTTTCTGGGTGACAGTGATAAAACAGTTTGTGTTTAAACAGTAATGAGGCCTAGATTTCAGGCTTGGTATCCTATTTCTTCCCAACCAAGTGTAAATTAAAACTCCTTTTCTTTTTAAAATAGCAAACGGATGTTTCAGAAGACAGTGATGATGATGTGGACGAAGATGAGATTTTTGGTTTCATAAGTCTTCTCAATTTAACTGAACGAAAGGTGGGTCCCTTGGGGGCACTTGTGTGGTCACCCTTAGGCCAGACTGCTTGTGTAACACACATGAAGTGTTTCTGTCAGGCGGTGATAGTTGTTGTAAGGGCGTGCCCACTTGTGAAGTCTCACCATAACCTTTCAAGTGAAGGTATTTTTTTGTGTTTTTTAAAAAATATATTTTTATTCAGAGAGGGAGAGAGAGATAGAAACATCAATGATGAGAGAGAATCACTGATCAGCTGCCTCCTGCAGGCCTCACACTGGGGATCGAGCCCGTAACCTGGGCATGTGCCCTGACCGGGAATCAAACCGTGACATCCTGGTTCGTAGGTCGACATTCAAGCCCTGAGCCACTCCGGCCGGGCGGAGGTGTTTTGTTTTGACTGGTGTGTACCCAGTTCAAGTCCTCCCTCCTGTGTGTAGAGTCCCCGCCTGGCCAGGTTAACACGCGGCTGGAGCTGCCCCTGCAGCTGCTCTGTGATGGGCTGTGCTGCTCCCTGCAGGGGAGGGCGCTGCTGACACCGACGGTCACGGGGTTTGCGCTCATCGCTCTTTCCTACTCACTGATGATTCCAGTGGAAAGTAAGAACCAGCTGCCTCCCCTCTCACAGGGCGCAGGTGCGCTCTGGTGTTAAATGGGCTTGCAGTGCCCTCCGCCATCTCCGAGGTGGACTAGCTCCTCCAGGGCCCTCTCACTACGGTCATGGGGGTGGGTCACAGCAGGCAGAGTTACCCTGAGAAGCACACAGCAGTCAGCACTGAAGACGGCAGACTCTAGAGGCTGTGACAGCTGCCCTCCCTGTGAGGAGCTGGTGGGCAGTCAGGCTTCTGCCGGAAGCGATGGCCTGAGTGAGGCACGCCTCTCTGCTTTCAGGGGACCCAGTGTGCGGAGCAGATTAAAGAGCTGACCCTGAGCGGCTGCGCCAAGAACTGTGAGAAGAGCGTGGTCGAGCAGCTGGACAAGCTCTTCAATGACCCCTCCCGGCCCGTGGGCCTGCTCCTGAGCGAGCGGTTCATCAACGTGCCTGCGCAGATCGCGCTGCCCATGCACCGGCAGCTCCAGTAAGCGCCTGAGCCGGGCAGGCTTCCCGGGGGTCAGAACCGGGACTGCGGAGGGCGTGAGTCCCGCCCAGGGGGTGGACTGGGAGCACTTGTCCGAGAGCTGCACACGGTCCTCCCTATCGGCTTTTCAGTTTTAATCACTAAAGCTATTCTGACGAGTCCGTAACCTTAAAGATTCAGTGGTATTAAAGTAGGTGAGTCTCATGTAGACTCTTCACTCCTATTTGACTAGTTTTTCACCTTCCCAGGTAGATTAACATGAAAAATACTGAATAATTACAACAGTAACAAAAACTGAGTAAAATTTCTAAATTTCACTGGAATGTTTTATGACTAAGGAAACCATAGTCTTCATACCGTATTTCTGGCTTCTCGGGGTTTTGTTTTTAAACGCAGTTTTAAGTTTACGAGAACATCTTACATGTAAGAAGAACTAAGAATCGGTGTTGCCTGTGCTTTAATAGAGGACGATGAGAACGTGGACAGGCCCCCTGCCCTCCCAGCCCCGTGTTCCTGAGGTCTCAGCACTCCTGGTTTCCTTAGTGGGAATGTGCGAATATAACCGGAGGATGGAAACTCCCCCCCCCCCCCCCCCCCAGGTCCTAAGAGGGTTTGTTTGGGTTGGCTTTTCCTGAACAGCTGGGGGTCATGGTTTATCTGATTTTCCCGGGGGGGGGCG